TAGAGCTTCATTTTGACCTGAAAATAGGATGTTTGGGGAATTGGGTGAGACGTTATGGATTTGTGTTTACTGTTTTGAGAATACAAGGCACAGTTTCAAGAAATGTGTTTAAGCAATCGAGAAAAACTGTAAAAACTTCTTAATGATGGATTTGTTTCTTACACAGCTTTTCACTTCACGTTTTATCCGCTGTTTGGACTCTCATTCTGACGGCACCCATTCACTGCCAAGGATCCATTGCTGGGCAAGCGATGTAACGCTAAATTTCTCCAAATCTGTTTTGATGAAGAAATAAACTCATCTACTGTATATATTGGATGGCTGGAAGGTAAGTAAATTTTCAGCAAAATTTCATTTTCGGGTGAATGGTTCCTTTAAGATTCTGCACTACTCTGGGTCACTAATCTAGTAAGCAAATTTGTGGCAAAGTGAGGTATTCCTTCAAAGACAATTTTACATTATTTAAATATTTTTTAAATAAACTCATCTACTGTATATATTGGATGGCTGGAAGGTAAGTAAATTTTCAGCAAAATTTCTTCTTTAAAAACTTCTTTAAGATTCTGCACTACTCTGGGTCACTAATCTAGTAAGCAAATTTGTGGCAAAGTGAGGTATTCCTTCAAAGACAATTTTACATTATTTAAATATTTTTTTGAAAATTTTTTTATGAAGTTGGGGGGAAAAGGCAAAACAAATGGTGGTCTCAGGCCTTTGGATCCCAGTGCATATGTTCATACAGTTTTAATCTAAGGAAACATTTGGTTGTTTGTGAATCATTATTTATTTGTACATTTACAACAATCATGTTTCATCCAGGAATCAAGAGTAAATTGTGTAAAAAAAAAAAAAAGTCACAATCTGCATGGCAGTACAACTTTTTTCCCGCATAATATAATACAGCTTTTCTCTTTATCTAAATATATCTATATCTATATATAAATCTTCTCTTGCTATGCAGTAGAACACACCTGCTGTCAAATCAAACGCAGACACTTTTAAGGCAACAATTGTTCAAACTTCACAGTTTCTCAGTTATTCATATATACGTAACATCGCTGCATAGGTCGAGGCATATAAACTGAGACTCCACACGTCACAATTCACTACTGTCCTTATTTACACATCATCTGTGGCATCTACTGGCAAATGCCTTGAAGAAAAGTGCAGTGTGTTAGTTGTTTGCTTGTTTTTCTTTTTTTAATTAAGAAAACACGAGTTAACATCTTCATTTCACACTCTATTAACTAAGATACGAATAACAAAAGGAAAAGCATTAAGACAAAAGAGTTTCAAATATAGGAAACATTAAGCAGCCATAAGCTGAAAAACCATTAAATAAAGCAAAATCACACCGTATGCTGTTTTAAGATTGGGAGGAACTAAATTCTTAATCAATACCTACTAAAATTACAACTAAATGTATAATTACAATTTACAAAAAAAAAAAATGGCAGTATGGACACTTACTGAACTGAAGGCAGATTTATTTGAACAATTGTCTACTATTTGTTCTCTAAAATGTGGTTTTAGATACTTTGTTTAGATTGTTACCTCCAGAAATTCATTTATTCAGTCACATTAGTGTAACATCTAAATGAGAATTGATTGACAAGTGCATTTAAATATGCTTATTAATCGCATTTCAATATTAAAAGATCTAAATATCAATAAAGCCTTGCATTCTGCATTGTTTTTGGATACTCACAACATCTACATTAATTTTAGACACATTTTGAGGCATCAGAGATCTGTATCGTGAAAAAGAAATAAAATCAAATGTCAATACTGCGAATTATGGGAGTTAAAAAAAAATATTGTGTGCAATTATTGAGAGTGCAAAACGTTGCAACAACAAAGTCATATATGTGCTATAATGTGCTTTACAATTTGTCAGTTATGTACATGATACTGTTTTATTTAAAAGCAAACCTACAATGAGGCCTAAGTCTTTACAAGGACTAAGTCAGTACTGTCTTTTCAGTACAGATTCGTTCAGGCATTTATGACTGCCTGAGAGTTGGAATAAAAATGTACTGACCAGCTGATCTAGAATTGACAACATAGAGAGCAACCACATGGACTAAGTGAAAGAACTTTTGCAATTTATACATTCAACCACTAGGGGTGCTATAGCTGCAAATGAGTGGACATTTCTCCATAAATCTGTGCTGAGAATGACATCAACTGCATCACATCTCTAAACAAGTTTCATATATAAAGTCTGTGCTTCCAAGTGCCCTGTCTCTTCAGAAAGCTCACTAGGTAAGTAAATCATCCTTAGAATACTGAGCAGAGGTATACTGGTTAAAAATATTCACATCACAGTCTTTGAAGAACACACACTTCTTTCCTGACATCACAAACATGTGCTCACACACATCAGCAGTTGCACGAGGAAGCAATGGTGTCACTTCAGCCCATAAGGAGAGCAGGACAAAGGCCAAAGGGCTCCTTAGAAAAAGAAATCACTGTCGGAAAGATAAAAAGGAAGGTCAGTGCATGTAATATTCCTCTCTTGTTTATCCCATTAGCAGGGGGTAAAGAACAAACCAAACCAAGTTAAGAACGTACAGAAAAGTAGTAATCTTCATATATAAAGTCTGTGCTTCCAAGTGCCCTGTCTCTTCAGAAAGCTCACTAGGTAAGTAAATCATCCTTAGAATACTGAGCAGAGGTATACTGGTTAAAAATATTCACATCACAGTCTGTGAAGAACACACACTCCTTTCCTGACATCACAAACATGTGCTCACACACATCAGCAGTTGCACGAGGAAGCAATGGTGTCACTTCAGCCCATAAGGAGAGCAGGACAAAGGCCAAAGGGCTCCTTAGAAAAAGAAATCACTGTCGGAAAGATAAAAAGGAAGGTCAGTGCATGTAATATTCCTCTCTTGTTTATCCCATTAGCAGGGGGTAAAGAACAAACCAAACCAAGTTAAGAACGTACAGAAAAGTAGTAATCAATAAAAGCAAACAGAAGGTATCACTCACAATTCTTGGAAAATCAGAGGCAAAGGTCACTCCTTTACTGGCCTTTTCCTGTGACCCACTGCTGCTGCCACTCACTGAGTTCTTACACATGATCCCTGAAAGTGTGTTTGTGGAAATAACATTAACACATATATATGAGTTACTGCCATTTAAGCAGAAATCTATAACCGATGAATGGCCATTATTATAAATCTACATTACTTTGTTATAAAAAGGTACATTACAAAGTAACATTAATAAAAGTTGCACACAGATCATTAAATGCACACAGCAACTCTTAAAACACTGAGTGTTCTTAAAGGGCCCTAAATAATATATATTGATATCCCTTTAAGTGAAATCAATCTTAAAATAGGTGGAAATAATAAAAAATAAAATGTCGGCCAATAAAAAGTCTAATATATGCTGATGCTAATACCATTACAAAAAAATGTAAAAATATAATTTATAATCACATAACTAATACGGCACCGATAATATTTATTCAAATGAAACTTTAAATGCAGATGACATTCTCAAGACCTCTTATGTTTCAACCTCGTCAATAACTAGACTTAATTTCGACATGTATCACCCAGTTTTCATGATCCAATCAATTCCAAATAGATACAATTAAGTTCCTACCTAGACATATTTTTTCTTGTTTTATCCCGTTTCAGGACAAAATAGGTTGTGAACGCATTTCCAAGTTGAAATATTTTTTTAAGCAGTAAAATCTTTTTAACCTCACCTATGGTACCTGTAGGGGGCAGTAAGTCTAGTCTCTGCAGGCTATTTCGGCGAGAGCTTGGGTACCCTCCACTTTTAGACAGACGACGCTGGCGGCTGGACAACATGGCCGCTGGAGACACGATTCCAGGAGGGGGCACTTTACCCATCTGTTTGTAGAGTTCCTCGATTTCTTGCTTTTGAGAGGCCTGGAGAGCCTGAACCTCTGCCACATGTCTGAGAAAGAGGGAGAAGGACAGGAAGTCAACAACAAGGCAGTGATAACCTAGTACCGTAGATCTCATTCAGCAATATATCATAGTATATTGCTAGTCTGTGAAAGTGCTATTCTGATTTATTTTTTATTTTTGCACGGTCATCAGATCTTTCCACACTGAAGACAGCGTAATTGAAAACTTTTCACAGCACTGAACATGTTCAGACATGTTAGGTCAAAAAACGTTTAGGATTAAATCTATAATGGACACTGATGGTTAGGGTCTAAACTATAAGACCTAAAATAAGTTGAAAAACAAAAGTATCAACCCCAGACGTCCTTCTACAGGTGCTTTAAGACATGTAATAACAGACAACACCTACGTCAAATACTGTACATGCTCAGAACAGGTTTGTCTAAGTATGCTCACAAAGATGTCTGAGAGCAATGCTCCACTTCATAGTATACCCTCATATTTATATTGACAGAAACACTTAAAAAAAGTTATTGTGGTGATGCATGCCTTTGTTTATATAGTACATATCATTAGAAGAACAAGTCTGGCCTTAGAAGTTTTTAAAGTGACAGAAACCCCAAAAATGAAACTTTTGTCACTGTTTAATCACCCTCATGTCATTCCGAACTTGAAAGACTTACTTTATTGAGTGGAACACAAATGGAGAAATGTTTATAAAATACTCAAAAAATAGCCTAAACTTACATATTCCAACTGTAATGCGATTTTGTGAGAAACAGATCAATATCAAAATTGTTATTCATTGATTTAAACTTTAAAAAAAAATCAATGACACCTCGTAATAAGTCTAATAATAATAAGTAATAAGTTTGTATATTCGTGAGCAGCCAGAAGATTCTGTTGTGTTTCATGGAAGAAAAAAAAAACTCATATGGGTTTGCCATGTTTGAAATGAGTGTAAATAACAATTTCCCCAGAATTTCCATTTTTCCCTGAATTTCCCCTTTTTAGTTAAAAGTTGTTTTGTGTGTGTTGTATTTCGATACTTACAGTGTTTTGCGGGCTGGGGGATGTGGAGGATGCTGGTGAGCTTGTGCTGGATGGGGTGCAGGAGCTTGATGTTGAACTGTCTGCCTGCTCTCTGAGCTGCCCAATGAGGTTAGACTGGCTCCCTGCCAGTGGGCTACTTCTGGACCCTGGAGAAGAGCTTGGGTTTGTGGGGTTTGGGTTTATGGGCTGTTTAATCTCAGGGGCCATGCCTGTTCTCTGCTCTCTAAGAGGGACTACTGGTGGAGATGCTGTTTGGCCTCGTTCTTGAGGTTCAGGAACTGGTGTCAGAATCTGCATATAAGCATCAGGATATTGGTACATATCCATATACTGGCCACTCGGTGCCCCCTGGTGGTATGGAGCATCAGCGTTGCTCATACTCGCATGCTGAGCTGGATACATAGGGCCATACCCTGGTTGAGGGGTCATTTGCGGGTGGAAACCTTGAGGGATGGATCCAGGGGGTATAAAGGACTGTGCAAAGTTCATAGCCAGAGAAAGAACATTGGCCAGCGAAATAAAGGGCTGCTGGGAATGTGGCGGCCACATGCCTGCAGCTTGCGGACCAGGTGGAGGGGCAACTGAAAGTGGCAGAGTGTTGGTTTCAGCTTGAGGTGGCATCTCGATGGACTGCTGAACCGGTGAAACAACAGAAGAGGACGAAGAGGAGGAATAGAAGTTTGGGTTGCTGGGGACACGAGTGAGCGGACTTGGGTTGAGGGGGCTCTTGAGGGAGGCGTGATCCATTTGGTAGGGGTAGGCAAAGTGGGTGTTTTGAACATAAGGTGGTTTGGGGAGTTGAGGGGGCATGGCAGACATCTGATTTGGCAGGAGATGTGGCAGAAGTTCGGGGTGGGAGTACTGTGGGTAGTTGAGCGTAGACTGATAGGTCTGGGAGGAACCTGAAGGATGCAGAAATAGGAAGAAAGAGTGAAACACTGGCTTATCTCAATACACATTTACATAGCAGTAGTTCAAACAATCTCAGCTGCCAAGTTGTTGTAGTGTTCATCGCTAGTAGGCATTCCTACTAAACTTACAGTAGTCATGTCGTCAACAGTCACTGCCACCATTGATGCTATTGTAAGAAGTGGTGTGGCACTGTGGCTAAAACTTATGAACAGAAAGCAGTTGTGGGTTTGAGTCCTACAAAAAGCAAGCCATGACCTGTCACACTTTATGCCCTAAATTCCACGTTGTTCCATAGGGATTGTTCCTCGAATTAAATGAGCTGTAAGTCACTGTGAATAAAATCATTGGATATGTGGTTACTTGCTCAAATCAGCAACTCTCGGGGAAAACTTTTGGTTGCTTTGTCACCATCTATGTGATCATTTTCAATGTTCAACTAACAATTAATTTATTAAAATAGGACTCTCTGACGTACTTTGACCTGTCAATGCTTTTCTTGACTTCTGAAAAGGCTCCATAGACATCATTGTGGCGTAAAAATAAAGGCACAAATCGGGATGTGACCTCACTCCTGAGGAGCTAACTACACTGGAGCATTTATTAAACTCCCTGTGCCAGACCTCTACTTCCTGAGCAGACACATTGGAGCAATGATTTGTCACCATATGTATCTTTCAAGAAAATAAAAACTGGTAATCTTGAAACAGAGCTTTTACAGGCTGTGTAATATGTGTGGTTTGTTCTCTCAGGTAATGAAAGTTCATTTTGAAGCAGCAGGTGTCAAAAGCATATCCTGAGATACGTCAACAATGACACTGGCGTCAAAGCTTGATCTCCATGGGGATGGGTGTTTAGAAAGCCAATTGCAGAGTGGGATACACAAGATATCGAGTTTGTTCCCAGTAGCCTCACAGCTAATGGTGTGCAGAGAGAGAAATAGGCATGGAAAAGTGCTCTCGGTAACAATGACACGAGTGAAAGAAATAAGATGAAAGAGCGAGACCCCGAACACTGAACGTCCACCAAGAGGTCTGGACTGTACTGATTATCTGTGTGATAGAACATGTCAAAAATAGCTGACAAGTCACAATGGACACATAAGAACTGGCTTTCCACTGGTAACTGAAGATGACAGTACAGACCGTACAAAATGTTTTAGATGACCAGGTGAGAGAAATGGTGCATAGATTTTCCACTGTAGGTTTGAGGTTGCATTTGATTGAATAACATAAAACAATGGAACAATAATGACCCATTGTTTGAAGAAAAAGACATCTGCTGGGCTTGATTCAAGTTACATGCTGTAATAGGCACAAAACCCCTTTCTATTCAGTAAATCTGACTGAATCTACATGATATAACAAGTTTAAAGATATGGTTTTGGGTTAATTCAGTTGCATGTAGATTAATTATCATTTGGATGTAAATTTGACCCTCATCCTCACATAAATTAGATTTCAGCATGATCAAGTTTTTATGATTTATGGCCGTTCACAATACAAATTCTCAATGTGTTGTCATTTTAGGTAGAGCTGCTTAGGAATAATATGTATTGTAAAAAGCAATACATAAATTCAAGGAAAAAGAAAGTGGTTTATTGTGTGTACCTGTAGTGTGGAAGGATTGTGAACGCAGGGGCCGGACGGGTGGAATGGCATCGGGATCAACGTAAAAGTCGGCACTCAGTGTAGGTGAGGAACCCCGGGTCACTGGCCCTATACTGGCAGCAGCATAATCTGAAGGACATACACCACAGGTTCATATCATGATGTGCACTTTTATTTTTATATTGAGCAAATTACATTTTCTTTACATTACATAAAGCTTTCTGCATTTTTAGATTTTCATTAAGACATTATTTAGTCCCTTTATTAAAGGGTTAGTTCACCCAAAAATGACAATTCTGTCATTAATTACTCACCCTCATGTCGTTTCAAACCACTTGAGGACACATGGATTATTTTACAGATCTCCTTGCTACGTTTCTGGACTTGGGAACATTTCAGTTGTGTTGCTGTCCATGCAGGGTCAGACAGCTCTCAGATTCCATAAAAAATATCTTAATTTGTGTTCCGAAGATGAACAAAGGTCTTATGGGTTTGGAACGACATAAGGGCGAGTAATTAATGACATAATTTAAATTTTTGGGTGAACTAACCCTTTAAGGTGTTTTGTTTGTTTTTTGGAGGAGGGGGCATTGAGCATTTGTTTGTAATTATTATCTACTGCAAAGACTTTACACATACTTTATATGATCAGTGTTTGTGTGCACAAGTGTTTACGTGTTCTGTGTGTGTGTGTTTGTTACCTGGCAACGAGGAGGAGGAGTGTGTGCGAGCGAGGCCCTGCGTGTGGAGATTGGGCTGTGGGGAAAAACAGAGCACACGTTGGCATTAACATCACCGTCTAGTAAAGTGACCACGTGTGAGAAAAGATAAGAAGATTGTCACACAGGCACAAATAAAGTGTACAATCACACTGTAGCAGAGGACTTTCTTATTAATGACTGTTCAACATTGATGACTAAGTTCTCTTATTACAATCATTGTTAGGAACTTTACAAAGGAACTTTACTTAATTGTGTTCGTTAATTGTTGTCTCTGACATCTGATGATGACGTCAGAAGATTGGATTTCTGAACCACAACATATAAAATCCCACAGTAAACAACTGAATTCCAAACCCTCGCCAGACACACACAGAAATAAAAGCTCATTTAAATGGATAGGTAGATACAGCTTTATTGTAATTGCACAGTACAGGTACTCAGCAACGAAATGCAGTTCAGCATCTACCAGAAGTGTGGTTAAATATGTAAATATATAACTATATACAGCAAATAAATAATATAATAAATATAAAATTCTTATAAAATGTTGAAAAGAGTGAATACAAACCTGTGAGGCAGACAGTGAGCCAACTCCACTCAGACAAGGCAGACGAGCAGTGTCTCTGGGACTGAGTGGTTCCAAAGGCTCTCTCCTCATCAGGGCCTCTGCCCGACGGATGATGTCCCTCATGCGGTGGATGAATCCCTCTCTCTCCCCAGGTAGAATAAACTCATTATGTACCTAAAAGGGGTGCAAAGAGACAGATCAGTTAAATGGGTTGATGGAATTTTGAGTTCTCTTGTGTGCTCTTTTGAGCAGACTTTCTTGATGAGTTCAAAGTTCTCCTTCAAAGCTACTGGAATTCAATACTGAGCAGTGATTCAGTGCAGTGAACAAAGACATGTACTCATAATGTAGCGAAGGGAAACACTACCGCCTATATTTAAGACTCCTAAATCCAGTCTCAAGGACAGGCTGATCAAAACAACTTTTAGTCAGAGCTAACACAAAGAAGCCAAAGAAAGCAGCTAACAAAAGTTATTCTCAGTATCTCTACTAAAAACACACTCACCCTAGATTCCATTTTACATCAATTTTTTGAGCCTCATGTCAATACTGAAAAAAGTTGAAAACTTTTGCTATAGCATCTTAAAGGGTATGCATATGATGCTGCTAAAAAGAACATTATTTTGTGTATTTGATGTACTGAAATGTGTTTATGCGGTTTAAAGTTAAAAAAGCACATTATTTTCCACATACTGTACATTATTGTTTCTCCTCTATGCCCCGCCTTTTTGAAACGCGTCGATTTTTACAAAGCTCATCGGTCTGAAAAAGCGAGGTGTGCTGTGATTGGCCAGCTATCCAATGCGTTGTGATTGGCCGAATACCTCAAGCGTGTGACGGAAATGTTACGCCCCTCACATACTGTTGATGCCGTGTCCCGGCCGGAGCGACGAGACAAAAACATTAAAACCCATTACAAACACGGCATTTGTTGCATCCAGTGGGGACATAATTACTGATTATAATGACTTATACTGTGTTTTTACGCGTTGCGTTGCATTGCATCGCGCCGCGTAAACATAAAACTCTGTCTGCATTTATGATCAGAGAAATGACAAACAACAAGTGCTACTCTACTGGCCAAAACTCGTGTTTGAATCATCAGTGGCAAATCATTTATATGAAAACGTACTTACAGACTGTGAGTCAGAACTGCCGACATTTTAGTCTAACGTTACTCTCCCAGGATCAGTAAACAGTCCTCCATAAAATGTGCTGCACACATCTGGATATTTGGGTTAAACTGTTCTGGAACAGTGTTGTAAATACAACTTAACCACTGATTTGTAGTCGTGTCCTCTTTTGGAAGACCAAACAAAGTAGTTTTGCTTTCACAGCGAAAAACACAGCAGCCTAGCGTGAGGGGAAGCCCTGGCTTAGCGTGAGCTGAGGCGGCGGGTTTGAGAACGGTGCGGCTGGCGATTTCGACGAAGGAGCGTCCGGAAGGACAAGTGATGACTCCGGGCTGGACTCCGCTTCCTCCACGGTGAAAGGCGATCCACAGCGCAAAGTTGTAGTATTTCTTCAGCGACCAGCATGGATCAGCTCTAGGCATGACGAAGCAGATATCGTCCTCTTTTGGAAGACCAAACAAAGTAGTTTCGCTTTTACAACGAAGCACACAGCGGCTTTACGACATTGTGGCGGAAACAACAAAACTACAGTGAGAATAAAAGTTACGCCTTCTTTCTTTGTGTGAACATTTGGGCGGCGTTATGCAATTCTTCCCACAGAGCGACGTAGGTATGTTGGGGCGTGTTAGAACAAGCCGTTTTAGGTAGGTGTGGCTAACTCTGAACATTTATAAAGAATATCTCTTTGGATTTGAGACTTTAGTCTTTGCAACTTTACAGATCTTCTTTATGCACCAAGAGCTTGTAACACTCCAAACAGAAAGGAAAAATTGAAATCGCATCATATGACCCCTTTAAAAACATGCTGCCAATTGTGCGACTGAAAAACACACAGAAGGGTCACAGCAGTCCTACAAGTCCACATGGTGCATGTCTCCATAGAAAAACATTATAGCAGCGACACAAAAACTAGAAATACATATTCCAGTGATTTTTAGCACTAACTGAGAATGCGATGGGTCACAAACCAGTTTTTCTCCTGTAGGCTAAAAATGTCAAAAACAGCTGACAAGTCACAATGGACACATAAGAACTGGTTTTCCACTGGTAACTGAAGATGCTACAGTACAAAATGTTTTAGATGAACAGATGAGAGAAATGGTGCATAGATTTTCCACTGTAGGTTTGTGGTTGCAGAGTTTGTGCCAACACAGAAGCTGAAGCATCAACACTTCTCATGCTATAATGCAGTTCTCACAAGGAGTGTCGCCTTATCTCTGTCCTTGTGTCCTCTTTGACCTCCATAACTTTCAGTTTACAGATATTTAGTGGAGTATAAATGAGACTGGGGGCAATTGTAACGTTTAACTTCTTCCTTCAAAACAGACTATTTGGAAATTGTATAATTATTTACAGATTTTCTTTTTTTTTATTTACAATTACTCTTTATATAATTATTTTATTTGATATTTTATTGTATATTTATTTTCTTTTTTCTATTTATTTTCTATTCTATTTTAATGTAATGTAATTTTGTATATTTTCATTTCATTTTATTTTAGATATTTTTATTTAATTTAATATTTAATTTAATTTAAAAAAAAATTATTATTATTTTTTTTTTGAGAGTGTTGCTAGCTCACCATTACTGCAGCCATTTCTTCTGGGTTGTCTCCATCCAGATCGAATTTAAATGTCACCATCTTGCTGTTATGGGTCTGTAGTTGACACTCTACAACCCGGTCTACTTTATCTGACAGCTGCATGAAGAAAGACACAGATAGGGAATGATTCGAGAGCATTTATCTGTGAGTATATCACAAAAAGGCAATTGATTTTGAAAGCAGTTATCCATTTTTTGAGTTAAGACACGTTTTCCGACTCAGTATTAGCATACTGTAAGGTTAGGAACCACGTGTGGACAGTTAACCAAGGCTAGCTAATTGACAGATGAGTCACCCCAGTGATGCGTAGCCGTGAGCGAGCCCTCTTCCTGAGCAGCTTGGTTCCGGTGCGTTTGTTCTGACCTTTCCCTCCTCTCTCCGAAAGACCCTCGTTTCCGTCACTCAAACCAGAGGTAACATCAGAAGCGTAGCTGTTCCGAGAGGAAGGATATAAAACACATGGTGACATTCCGACTTCCTGAATTTCACAGAACTGCACTTCACAGAATGTTTCTTTTATCAGTTTACCATTAGCACGTAAAGGCCAAGTAATTTACGACAGATCTTCTAAACCAGGTTGAGCTAATTGAGTAAAAAGCAACAGCGTCCTTGTGTACCCATCTGACCATATGCTACCTTTGCTTTGCCTTCATCTGGCTTCCTACAGAAATGGCCTTCATGGTAAATTGCTTCCCTGAGCTAAATCATTACCATTAATGCACTTACCACTAGGCTATGTGCAGTGTATGTGTGTGTCTCTATGAGTCACACAAAAAAAGAACTGCTCTCCACCGGAGCACTACAGGCACCGTGGGTAAACGTGGCATGATGTTGGTCAGCTGGTGAGTAAGATTACAGCTCTCACAGCTGGGATCAGGTCCACATTTTCTTGACGTCAAAACAAAAGCCACATCCACACGCACAGTGGGGGAGGTTTTATTTAAATAACGGTCTTGTATAGGACTGATTCTACGTTCTTAGCTTAACGGGTTAAGACCAGGCTGATGAAGTTGGAGGGCATTTAAAGTGAGCATTTTTAGACAGATATCCCAAGTTCAGTGTGTAGGGAGTAGTGAACACTGTGTATGGACCCTGTTAATCAGAACTTAGCTTACCTGTCGACAGGAGAGGAAAAACCACTGTTATTTCCTGACTGGGCCCTCTCTGTGTTTTGGGACACAGCAATGCTCTGTGGGAGGCAAAGGAAAACAATTAGCAATGCAAATTGTGTCTCAAATGAGGTAAACCTTATTCAAATGAACATTTTATTTGATCATATAGACACATTATATGATCATCTTTGTAGAATCAGTCAGAAATGGTCTGAAATCTCACATTTGCACGTTAACTAAATTATTAGTATATATGTACACTACCATTCAAAAGATTGGGATTGATAGGATTTTTGAAAGAAGTCTCATTAATGCATAATCTCAAAGGCTGCATTTATTTGATCATAATACAGTAAAACCAGTAATACTGTAAAATATGATCACAAATTAAAATAAGATTTTTCTATTTCAATATACTTTAAACTGTAGTTCATTCCTGTGATGCAAAGCTGTATTTTCAGCCTCATTACTCCAGTCGTCAGTGTCACATGATCCTTGAGAAATCATTCTAAAATGCTGATTTAGTGCTCAAAACAGTCATACTGCTTTTTTTGTGGAAACTGTGACCATTTTTTCAGGATTCTTTGATGAATAGAAATGTAAGAAAAACAGCATTTATTTGAAATAGAGATCTTTTGTAACATTATAAATGCCTTTATTGTCACTTTTGAGTCAAACTTTTAATTGTTGGTAACCTACCGAGGGGAAACGGAGAGCTGGGATCGCTGCAGCTGGAGTGGGAGGGGCTTCAGTGGGTGGAGCTTCAATGGGTGGGGTTTCCACGCGAGGGGCTCCACTGGTTGGTTGTGGAGCTGTGGAGGGTTGGTTTGCCACAGGAACTCGAGCTTCTGAAGGTTCCTGAAGCCCAGAGGAGCTGAGATATCCATCCGTCTCACAGTCAGCTGCCATGGTAACCACAGTTCAACCAAACAAGCGGAAAGTAGTTTGCTAGTATGCAGCTTACCGATATTGCTAAAGTGCATAGAGATGTCTTGCATGACCTAGCAAGGCATAAGTGATTAGTTCCATAAACATAGTTCCTATGTTAAGACTGTGTTTGATCAGCTAGCAGTTAGGCACAGGGTAATCAATTAAATTAGTCCAATCTAACATTTTGTAACTGACTTTAAAAAAATTATGACCAGCCTTAAAAAAAAAAAAATTTGATGAATAACTTTTTAAGACTAGTCTAAGCAGTTTATACAACTGGCCACAGGTTATACAACGCCTTTCATGGAGGTTGACTATTTTAAAGGAATTTCAGATAAACTAGACTGTTAGCTTTTTTCTACAGGACTTGAGGACACTAAAGTTTTTGTAATATACACTACTGTTCAAAAGTTTAATGTCAGTAAGATTGTCAAAAAGAAGTCTCTTATGCTCACCAAGGCTGCATTTATTTGACAAAAATACTGTGAAAACCGCAATATTGTGAACTATCATTACAATTTAAATTATTATTATTTTTTATTACTATTTTAATTACATGTGAAATAACATGATTCCTCAGAAATCATTCTACTATAATGACTTGGTGCTCAGGAAACATTTCTTATTATTATTAATGTTGAAAATAGAAAATGCTGCTATTAATATTTTTTGTGGAAACCATGACATTTTTTTCCCATGATTCTTTGATGAATAGAAATGTACAAAACAGCATTTATTTGAAATATAAATCTTTTATAATATCAATTTCTTTACTGTCACTTTACTGTCACAGAATTTAATGCATCCTTGCTGAATAAAAGTATTAATTTCTTTAAAAGAAAATCTTACTGACCCAAAACTTTTGAATGGTTGTGTATTTGTGTAAATCTAAAATAAAAAACATACCATGGTCACTAATTGGAGCCAGATTGTGTGTACTGGATCAAATGAAAACTAAACTAAAAAACACATGTATAAAATGGAAACGACTGAAACATTTGACAAATTATTTTGTCTTCTTTGAATTTAAAGCATTCAAATGCTGTTTCAAATCATTCTGGCCCAATTGAAAAAGCTTGGACGTATATCTAAATATATGATTGGAATGTTGTTCCAGGATCAACAAGGATGTTGATTAAGGAACATGTTGTGCTTGGTGAAATCACGCTCACGCTCACCCCTCTTTGACCTCCATAACTTTCAGTTTACAGATATTTAGTGGAGTATAGTGGAGACTGGGGGCAATTGTAACGTTTAGCTTCTTCCTTCAAAACAGACTATTTGTATATGTTATCTATTTAAAAAAAAAACGCATTTACCCATCTAAATTGCCGCGTAAGTTAGTAAACATTCTGTACATGCAAATGGTTCAGTAATGAATATATGCTGACACACTGTACAATGTAGCAACTGTTTATCCACAAGTAAATCATGTTGGTTTTAAAGGTCGTTTGGTCATGATAAACATCTTTGAAGTTTTGGTTGGCCAGGGGAGACATGTGGTTCAATATTCCTGGAACAACATTCCAATCCACCAGTCAAGGAAAAGTTTACAGTTATTATCACGTTTAGGCTTGCAACCAGTGTTAGGACCTTCTACACTCTTCTACATTCATATTCACCTATGATTTCCCTCTAATTTTAGGGGTAAGTAACAGTTATGTTTCGGTTTCGGGGTTGGTATAAAGTTAGGACTATGCTTCTAGACCGTTGATTCACAAACATGTCTTACTTGGCCAAATCACATCAACTTTAATTGCGTGTGTGTGTGACAAAGTCATGAAAAAAGACATTTAACAAGAAATTGAGATCAACAGCAGATAGGATTTCATAAAAAACTACAACAGACTTAAAGTCTGAAATTGTAACCAGGAATTTAATTGTCTGGAGCACATTCTTATATATTGTGATGTATGAGTATTGGATTATCGAAAATGGAAAAATGTGGGTGGAACTCGGTTCTACTGTATGCATTGGTTGTTGATTGGATTCTGAGATGTGGGCACTGCACTCAAAAGTGGATGATCTCGAGCTTGCAGGAGTGGGGTCTGAGTGTAAAATTCAGTTATGGCATTGAAAAATCTGCATACGCATTGATGAATTGTTCACAAGAAGATCTATAATGTGCATTTAGAAAATAGATAAGGCAGGGCTGTACAGTCCTGCTACTGGAGGGCCACCTTCTTGCAGAGTTCAGCTCTAACTTGCCCCAACACACCTGTCTTGTAATCCTGAAGACCTTGATTAGCTGGTTCAGGTGTGTTTTCTTGTGATTGGAGCTCAACTTTGCAGGATAGTGGCCCTCCAGGAGCAGGTTTGGACACCCCTGAGAAAGGGTGAATTTCCATTTCATGCTGACTTTGACATACACAAGAGCACACAAACTTACACGTTGCTGATGAGTAGCTGGCGTGACGTATGTTGAAATGCTGCCGCTGGTCCGCGTCTGGCTCCTCGAGTTCAGTGGCAAAGCTAGCGTTAAAGCCAGAGTCCAGAGATTCATTTGCAGACAGGGAAATGGGGCCTGACACTGTGACAGTGGGCGGAGCTTGAGTAGGGGTGGATACGGGCGTCTCTACAGGAGGTTTAGGAGCAGGTGGGTTAGAAACTGAAGGTTCGGCTTCAAGACTAGGTTCGGGTTCCTCCTCAATCACCTCCTCTTGTCGCCGTCTCTGGGCCTCTTCTGCCTGTCGACGGAGCTTTTCTCGTTGGCGCTTGATGGCGGTGACACGGTCACGGATGGCTTTGGCCACCAGTTTGTAGTCTGCCTCACAGACAAATCCAAGAACAACCTGAAGGATACAGATTAGTTATCTGTTCAGTGATGGCACAGAAATTACAAAAAAACAACAACAATAGAATATAATCTCCATCAAATCAAGATTTTCGATCTCACCATCTCCTGAGCCACTTCTTCTGGGACGTCCTTGTAGAGTTCAAACAGGAACTCAATGGCGTTGTTGTCCTTATATTTGCCATGGAGCTTCTTGGTGTCATCCATTCGAAGCCAGAGTTTAAGGCCAGACTTCACCATGTCATCCTCCTCAGCCAATTCGACATGGACACCATTATTCTCCTGGAAGAAGGTGTGCTCTAACAGGTCCTGGATAGTGTACCTAAACACAATAACAAGAAAACACAAGATCATATACTTCCTTCGGGGTTTTACAAAAGGGCATCAAGGTTTGGCTGGTTAGCATGATCTAGTTAGCCCCTACTGGTACTGCAGAAGTTTTACCTACACAATCTGACTGCAAAAAAAAAACAAAACAAAAACATATTTTTCCACTAGAAGCAATTGAAAATTAGCTCTGTATTTTGACCACATTTATTTTTTACAAGCGACACGCAAGTGACAAATATTAATTACTATCCTAAACTAGCTATTTTAAGCTATTTTGATGAATGCTGTTTACATGAGTTATTGCTTTTAATAAATGCTAATTTCACGATTTTTAAGCTAATTTACAACCAGATTTCCTTGTTGCTAAGATTACAATGTCTTTGTGAAACACATAACAATAAAAAAGCAAAAACCTAGCATAATAAAGTCTCACATCTTATGGTAGATGGACTGTCAGGCAAGCACTTTGAGTTCTTAATGTGTTAATTAAATCAACACTATTAATCATCAGAATGACCTGCTGCTGGATGGAGTGAGTCATTACTAGTGGCTATTGACCAAACGCTTTACATAATCATTGGGTGACATATTAAATGGACAATTTTACAGGCAGAAATGTGTTATGTTGAATTGATTACACGATTATGAGGATATTTTGGGTAGAACAAAAGTGGTGTGATTGAGTGATTGCAAGTGGAGAACAGGTTGGTTACTGATGGAAACTGTTGGTTACTTTTTTAGTATAAAAGGGAAAAAAGCTAACAATTAATATACTTACATTTCTTTTAATATGTTTCAAGCATATTATTGTAAATAAAAATAAATTTCACCCAATATCTGTGCACTTCTGTGTGTATTTTTATGTTAGAGTGCCATGCTGTTAGCTTAACAACATGCTAATGCTAAACTTTATTTGGAGTCATGTGTTGTGCTATTTGTGTAGCTGCCAAAGTAGAGTGTTTCAAATTGGTCACATATATATATATATATATATATATATATATATATATATATATATATATATATATA